TGGCAGACCTCTCCTGACCCGCCCGCTGCTCCCCTCAGCAGTGTACTCCGTCGATCTGCCTGTTCTGTTCCCGGCTCTGCCTCTGGTGAAGCCTCTCACCGCCCCTGAGTCTCTGGCCTGTACCCCAGTTCTGTATGTACAAAATAAAATAAAATCTTTTAAAAAAAAGAAAGAAAAATTACTGCAAGATAAAGTGAGATAAATATTTATTTATTTTTTAAAAAATGTCTTTTCTTACATTATTGCTTTCCTCTCAGGTCTACTCCTTGTAGTTCTCCCAACACCACTTCACCCATGAACCTTTACCTTAGTCCCTGTGCTCTTCCCTCCGATTTTGACCCCTCCCTCTCTCTCTCCTGCTATAGGCTTCAGATCTAAGGGCTGTTGCCAAGTTTTGTCTTGTTCCTGAATCTTTGTTCAGTTTTCCTCTGTCCAACCTAGAAGTAAACCATTCCATATATTCCTGTTTCCTTCTGACTTAATTCATTGAGCATAATCCCTTCTAGCTCCATTGATATTGCTTCAAATGGCATGAGTTTATGAGCTAAATATTTCAAAAATGCTTAAACAGTGCCTGGGACGGACTGAGTTGTCCACATGGTGATGAATATTCTTTTAGATCTTTACTTGAACAGGAATGTTATTGGGGGCCAGGGTCAATCTTATTTAGCTTGCATTCTGGACACACATCTGCAGCTCCCTGAATGATTGCTCGTTACATTGCATGCCCCTGGACTAGGTCACTACACTTACTTCTTTATCTCAATTAACTTATAGGCCTCTTTAAGACCTTTAAATAGGTCTTTAAGACCTTTAAATAAGTCTTTAAGGTCTTAAAGACCTTAAACATGTAACTACCTAACAGCAGTAATAATAATAACAACTATTCAGTGCTTGTTTTTTTTTCCTCTGTGATATCACTAACAGAAAGTTAAATCTCTCCATAGGACTTCTGGAGTACGTTAAGCAGAAGATAACAAAAATTTGTATTTAACATGAAACTGTTATCTGAAGGACAACTTAGATTTTGTGCTGTTCAACCAATGCATCTCATATCATGGCTCATCATAGGTTTTATTCTGAAATCTATCTCTCCTCTAAAACCTGCCCGACTTCCAATTTATCAAAGGAAGCCTTTTATAGCTGCTTGGAATGCGCCAACAGACCAGTGCTTGATAAAATATAATGTCAGAATAAATCTGAAGATGTTTCAGGTGATTGGGAGCCCATTGGCCAAGGCCAGGGGGCAAAACGTCACTATATTTTATGTCAACAGACTAGGATACTACCCATGGTATACATCACAGGGGGTTCCCATTAATGGGGGTCTCCCCCAAAACATAAGTTTGCAAGTCCATCTGGAAAAAGCTGACCAAGATATTAATCATTATATCCCTGCTGAGGATTTCAGTGGACTTGCTGTCATTGACTGGGAATACTGGCGACCACAGTGGGCTCGGAACTGGAACACAAAAAATGTCTACCGACAGAAGTCAAGAAAGCTTATTTCTGACACCCAAGAGAACATCTCAACTACTGATATTGAATATTTGGCCAAAGCAAATTTTGAAGAAAGCGCAAAAGCTTTCATGAAGGAAACCATTGAATTGGGGATTAAGAGCCGACCCAAGGGCCTTTGGGGTTACTACTTATATCCTGACTGCCACAATTACAATGTTGATGATGCCGATTATACTGGGTCATGCCCAGAAGAGGAAGTTTTGAGGAACAACGAGCTCTCGTGGCTCTGGAATAGCAGTGCTGCTTTATATCCTTCTGTGGGGGTCAGGAAACCCCTTGGAGACAGCAAAAACATTCTGCGCTTCTCACAATTCCGGGTGCATGAATCCATGAGGATCTCCACCAGGACATGCCATGATTATGCACTGCCTGTATTCGTCTATACAAGGCTGGGCTACAGAGACCAACCTTTGTTTTTTCTTTCTAAGGTAAGACACTCTTTGGCCTCACTCTTTGGTGAGGCATTACCTTTTTAGTGCTAAGGGAGGCATTCTTTCACTAATTTTGCTCTTTGAAGAATTCCTAATTTATTGGAGTAGAATATCCTTTCATTTGACTAGTCAACACTTATGGAATTCATTCATGCAAAATGTTTCTGATTATCTTCTGTAATATATTCTTAAGGAAATGCAATAGAAGGAAAGGAAGGGGTTAATGTTCAATATCACCAACAACTGCTGCTTCTGACACCCAACTCAGATGGTCTCCCTTACAACGGACCTTTGGGAAAGCTGTTGAAATGACTGAGGGTGAGAAGTTTGGAAAATCAGAAAAGTTTTTAATTGAAGTAATTTTCTTGTATATATATATATATATATACAAGTGGAACTGGAGGCATTCTTGCTTCTTGTCTCACATTTAAAATATCAAGAAAAAAAGTGTTCTCTTTTTTAAAATTTTAATTAATATTTTTACATAAAAATTAAAGATTTTATGCATACATTGTTTCACAATGTAGTGATACATATGTTGATTATATTATAATTATGGTGAGTTTTAACATTAGACATTTTTTTTTACATTATTCTTCTTGTGCATTTTTCCATCTCAGTTGTAACCCCTGTGGACTCCCCACCACTAGTTCACCTGTGTGCCATCACCACCGTCCAGTGCACTCTTCCCACTCCAGTTCAGATCCCAGCCCCATAAAATGTCTCTGGTTAATAGCTGTTCATTGTTTTCATGTTTTACTCTATTACATTTGTTTCTCTCTTTTTTCCCCCTGATCACTTACGCTTCTGCTATGAGTGAAACCATCCAGTATTTTTCTTTTTCTTTCTGGCTTATTTCACTAAGCATGATCCCTTCCAGCTCCATCCAAAAAAAAAAAAAAAAGTGTTCTCTTTTTAATGCATAATTCAAGCTTTGGTAAAAGGTAGAAAGGAGGCTTAAGGATGTGAACCTCCTTGTCATTTACTGAGCTGTACATGTAGAAATGACTGAGTGAATTTTATATCTTTTAAACCCACAATTAAAAATTTTAAAGAATTTTAAAGGTAGCTGCAAAGACAGCTTTTAAAGATAGCTCAGTCTGTAGATTTAGTTATATGATTTATTCTTGTTTGTTAGACCACACTAAATAGTTGGTTAAGGTGCAAGTTTCTAACTTCAATACTTAAATCACTAAGAGATGGTTTTGTAACCCTAGGTTAAAAATTACAAATGGGGCCCTCCCTGGTGGCACAGAGGGTTAAAGCACAGCACTGAGAATCTAAAGCCACTTCCGCATGAGTTCGATTCCCGCCTGCCCCGGAGGTGACCACGTGGTGTGGCAGACCTCTCCTGACCCGTCCACTGCTCCCCTCAGCAGTGTAATTCATTGATCTGCCTGTTCTGTTCCCCACTCTGTCTCTGGTGAAGCCTCTCACCGCCCCTGAGCCTCTGGCCTGTACCCTGGTTCTGTATGCACAAATAAATAAATCTTTTAAAAAAAAATTACAAATGGAAATTTTATTCAGTCTGTTTAGTTTACTGAACTCTCAAAGAACTTTTTAAATAGATGATCTTTCTCTCCCTTTGCCACTATAGTCATTGGAAATTTCTAGAGATAAAAACTTAAAATGAATGTTACTTTAATCATTGAACTTGGATAATTATGTGTAAACTTTCTATGATGAGAAGACCTGGGACATGTAATGGCCTTCACATTAGTGATACACTGGTGTCTTAAGATATTGGTGGTTATTAGTGATTATCATATTTTTAAAATTTTAAAAAAGATTCATTTATTTATGTATAAAGAATTGGTGTACAAACCAGAGGTGCAGGGGTGGTGAGAGGCTTCACCAGAGACAGAGTGGAGAACAGAACTTGCTGATCGATGAGGTACACTGCTGAAGGGAGCAGCAGGTGGGTCAGGAGAGGTCTACTGCTATATGTGGGTCACCTTCAGGGCAGGGTATTGAACTCACACTGAAGTTGCTGCGGCCAGCTTGCAAGACTGCATCCTTACCCGTTCTGCCACTAGAGAGAGCCTGATTTTCATATTTTAATAGAGACATTTCTTCTTTGCTCCACCACGACAAATTTCAATTCACCAGCTTGTATGAAAACATCAAGGCATTGTTGTTAGACCCCAGAAGAGAAGGCTAGAAAACACTCAGGTGAGGGTCCTGCAAAGCCTGTAGATAACCTGGGAGCACCTAGAAGTAGCTCTTCTTCCTTCTTACAGGGAGAAATAGCTGTCATGCATGCACATGACTGGGTTGCAGTGAGGCGCTAGAAATTCTCCCATTATAGTTCAGGTTTTCTCCTCCTATAATGATTCTTACACTGTTGAGAAATTCAAATAGCCACATACAAAAAAAATGAAGCTGAATTACTCTCTAACTCCATATACAAAAGTAATTCAAAATATATTAAACACCTGGATGTACGACCTGAAACCATAAAATAGAGAGAGAAGAAAACATAGGAGATATGTTCCATGATGTCAACTTTAGAGCTGTCTTTGGGGCTTTGACTTCAATGGCCAGGGAAATCAGGTCAAAATTAAATCAGAATCCATCAAATTAAAAAGTTTTTGCACAGTGAGAAAAAAAGAGTCAGAACAGAAAGTCTATTGAGTGGGAGAAGGAATTTGCATTTCAGTAAGGGGTTAATAAAATGCAAGGTATATACAGAATATAAACAACTCAACATGATAATGATAAAAGTGCAAACATCTTAATAGATTCATCATTAAGAAGACATACAGATGGCCAAGAAGCATGTGAAAAATTCATTGTTTATTACTAGGCATATGAGAAATACTCATTCTTATTAGGGGAATGAAGTTAAAGCCAAGATGAGATATTGTTTCATACCTATGGGATTGGCTTCCGTTAAGAATAATAACTGTCAGCTAGGCTGTGGACAAAAGGGAACCCTTGTCTACTGTTGGTGGGAATGTAAATTGTTGAAATCATCTTAGAAAACACACACAAAAAAATGAAAATAGAGTTATCTTATAATCCAGCAATCCCACTTCTGGGTATTTATCTGAAGAATATGAAGTCATTAAAGAGTTATGCATACCCTATGTTTACTGCAGCATACTCACAAAATATGGAAATGACCTATGTACCTATTGATAGATGATTGGATAAAGGAGATATAAATACATCATGGGATACTACTTGTCTATAAAAAAAAATGGAAATGGAAGAAATGTAAGGGGATTGTGTTCAGTGAAATAAGTCAGAAGGGGCCCTCCCTGGTGACGCAACGAGTTAAAGCACAGCACTATGAACCTGCTGCAGCCACTGCAGCATGAGTTCAATTCCCAGCCAGGGAGGTGACCCACAGGGCCCAGCAGACCTCTCCTGACCCACCCACTGCTCATCAGCAGTGGGTTCCAGTAGATCTGCCTGTTCAGCCCCCCACTCTGTCTCTGGTGAATCCTTTTACCCCGTGCAGCACCTCTGGCCCGTACCCCAGTTCTGTATGCACAAATAAATAAATCTTAAAAAAAATTTAAAAAAAAAAAAAAGAGAAATAAGTCAGAAGGAGAAAGACAAATGTGGAATAATCTCACCTCTATGAAATACAAGAAAACAAAGCAGATAAATGAAGAAAACAAAAACAAAACAGTGGATTTTAATAACAGAACTGAGTTGGCAGTGGAGAAGATGGTGCTGGTAGTAGTGAAGTGAGGGGAAAGGTGGACGGGCCCAACGAATGGTAGGTTTTTAAAATTTTTGCTTAAATAAAAAGGAAACAAAAATAATAAGCCTTTAAGAATCCAAAACTAAAATTCTCCTTCTTTATTCTTTTTCTTTCTCCTTCTTTATTCTTTTTCTTTCTCCTTCTTTATTCTTAAACAAAGAAAACATTGAGAAAAATTCTATTAGCCTTACCATGACTGAACAAGTCATAAATGAGGTCCAGTAAATAAGGCATTTTGGAAATTAAACACAAATAATCTCAGAGACCAAATATAAGACCGGATCCTAATAAGAACCTGCACTTCCTTCACACTGTGTTAAGGATTCCAGTACTAACTTTGTCTTGGAATCTGAATGATACACAAATCCCTCCTAGTCAATACAGAGGGGAAGTGCTTCAGGGAATATTGAAGTTGGAAAGGAAACCTGGTTAAGAGCAATTGTAAGCATTTCTCATATTTGGAGAAGGAAAACTTGAGATTGTTTGAGTCACAGGCATAGCTGGCTTGTGTGTAGAAACCCCTAATTATGTTCAATGATGCAATTTGTGGTGGCTAATTATTTTGGTGGCTGTCTTCAAAATACTATTTTCTTTGGTGATTATATATTTTTTTAAAAAAATATTTGATGTGTTTTCCCATAGGATTATAATGGGTCATTTTTGAACTTTGGCTCAATCAACATTTATGTTACTCTAAGAAAGTAAAACAAGTTTTATCCAATAATATTGAACTCAGCTTCAATCTTAATCCCTGGTGGGGTGTTTTACATTTAAATGAATAATGAACTCAACTCTTTTTCAATCCAGCAAGATTTAATCAGTACCATTGGAGAAAGTGCTGCCTTGGGAGCTGCAGGCATTGTTATTTGGGGAGACATGAACTTAACTTCATCTGAGGTCAGTACTGGAAGGTACAGTTAACATTACTTAAAGCACTTGCTGTTCTCCCATAGCTCTCACCCCAGGCATTTCCCTTCCTGGCTCCCATGGTAAATCAGTTTAAGAATGAAAGTCTGAATTAATATCTGATCCCTTGAAGGAACTCAATAAATACTATTAACATTTGTTAAGACAGTAATCATAATACTGAGAGTTGTTGAGTGTTTACTATGAGTGAAGAGGGTGGTAAGTGCTTTTTTTAATCTTAGGTTTGTTTACATATTGGTCACAATAACTTATCAGTTTTGAACTATCATCCTCACTTAATGAGCATTCGCAAGAGAGCAGAATAACTAGGGTAACAGCTAGTTAGACTAGCTAGTAACTCCACATCCCATTGCTGTGTTCTATCCTATTCTGAAAAGTATAAACAGATGGTAACTCTTTTAATGACCTCATTGAATTATTATTCCTCTGTGGAGAAATTAGCTGGAAATTAATGACATTTAAAATAAGATTTATAGGTCTCTTCAAATTTCTCCCAGTTCAGATATTATTAACTTCAAGAGGTCTTTTTACCTTTTCCCAATCCATATTAACCAGTCTTTCTGTATTTCCAGATGTTTGTTTATATCTCTATAGTGCAATATAGCTTGCCTTGAGTGGTAATATTGTATCCTCAACACTCCCCATTAAATTGAACTTTTTTGCAAGTCTATAATAATCTAATATTATCCGAGTTTCACAGACTCCTTTTGTTAATAGCACTATATCAATCATGAAAATATTGATGAAAAAGACTCCTTTGCTCATTTATGAGAATTGCATAGAGACTCACAGGTAGGATATTTCCCCTCCTGCCCATGTGGCTCATGAGCTAAGCTTCACAGAAAACCAAGTGAACAAAACACATGACCCCTGTCTGAACACATACAAGGAGCCACCCCAAAAGTGACCTACTCAGCCTTCCAGGTAGACAGGCTCTCCTGTGTTTGAATTTCATACAGAAGGTAGAATCCGGAACAGCTGATATTTAAACATAGTAACAAGAAAATCCAGAAGACTACAGCTTGATGATCATGATTATATCTGTAGAATGTGATGACTCAGATTCTAATACAACCATGAGAGAGTCCACACACCTCGAAGGTCGCCAAAGGACAACAGCTTTGGCATGATTTTTAATTTGGTTTTCCCTTTTCTTTAAGTACTCATTAACTTGGGAACTAGAAGGGACAGGAAAAATTGTGTACATTGAAAAAAATCAAGGTTACATGTATTGACTCTGGGGCCCATTCACAAGTCCAGTTGATCAGTCCACCTGTGACATAGTTTCCATTTCCTGTGCCTCTGACCTTTGTTCTTTCTAATGTAATTCTCCAGTTATATCTCTGAAGCATACGAGTTCCTCAATTGGAACCAAGCTATTGGGTTCCAAGCAAGTCCAGAGAACTATCTTGTGGCCTTAGATGTGCTGCCTTTATTAGTTACCAAAGCAAATGAGTAGACCACTAAACCCCATTTTGTTTCTGCATTTCTAGGGCAACTGTACAAAGGTGAAGCAGTTTGTGAGTTCTGACTTAGGGAGCTACATAGTCAACGTGAGCAGAGCTGCTGAGGCATGCAGCCTTCATCTCTGCAGGAATAACGGCAGATGCGTAAGGAAGCTGTGGAAAGCTCCCGATTACCTTCACTTGAACCCTGCAAGTTACCACATCGTGACTTCTGAGGATGGAGAATTTAAAGTGAAAGGGGAAGCATCTGATACGGACCTGGCAGCTATGACAGAGAAATTTTTCTGTCATTGTTATCAAGGATATGAAGGGGTTGATTGCAGAGAAATGAAGATGGCTGATAGCAGCTCGAGGGTTTCCTCCTTTTCAGGCTCACTAATCACACTGTGTCTGTTGGTTTTAGGGGCTGTCAGAGAATTCAGTTGTGAGATAATTGAGTTTAAAGGGAATTGTGTGGCCTGCAGAGTAGTAACTTAGGGAAGAGATGAAACTTAGGACAATATTTTTTTCAATTTGGAAATCCATGGATGGGTATTATCCATGGACATTAGCGCTGTCACTTACACACAGAAACAATTTCATTTGGCGCCAATTTAGCTAACCATATCCCGGAGTAAAAATCCATGCACCCTTCCTCCTTACTGGAGTGTCTGAGTTGATTTTAAAATAGAACATGTATTTTTTTAGTCTTTATATGAACATACATGCATAAGCATACACATAAAAATATTAAGGTATTAATTTTAAAGACTGGCTTTCTGGCTAGCTGTGTAATTAATGATGGATTACTAAGTTCTGATTCAATGCAAGAAGTCACCTGGTCCCCACCTTCTCATCTGAAATTTGGTGATATAATCCCTACCTTAGTGAGATATAAGAATAAATGGGATAACACATCACATTCATACTTGGCTCTTAATACATATTGCCTATCTTTAAATCTCTCCCTTGATAAACAAAGTAATGGAAAATCTTAGCATAATTAGAATGGAATGTAATCACATCTCTCTGATATTATGGCCCATATATAATGACTTATATGTTGTATAATCGGGAGATGCATTTTTTTATAATAGTTTATTTTTACATCATTTCGTGCATTTTTCCATCTCCGTTGCAATCCCCTTGGGCTTCCCATCATCAAATCACCCATGTGTCATCACCATAGTCCAGTGCATTTCCCTTCCCCCACTGTTTTTGAACCCATTCCCTGCTTCACCCCCACAAAATGTCTCTGGTATACAGCTGTTCATCATTATCATTATTTTCTCGCCTGTTCTGTTACATTCCTGCTATGAGTGAAACCATTTGTATTTTTTCATTTCTTTCTGGCTTATTTCACTAAGCATGATCTTTTCCAGTTCCATCCATGTTGCTGCAAAAGACATGTGTTTCTTTCTTTTTTCTTTTTGGTTGCTGAATAATATTCCATTGTGTATATGTACCACATCTTTTTACATCATTTTGCACATTTTTTTTATGTCAATTGTAATCCCCACGGGTTTCCCATCACCATATCACCCCTGTGCCACCACCATAGTCCCGTGCATTTCCCTCCCTTCCCCCCCACCCCCCGTTTTTGATCCCATTCCCCACTCCACCCCCACAGAATGTCTCTGGTCTATGGTTGTTCATTATTTTTGTTATTTGTACCACATCTTTTTAATCCAGTCATTCATTTTTGGGCATTTGGGCTATTTCCATGTCTTTCCAATTGTGAATAAAGCAGCAATAAACATGGGGGTGCAGGTATCTTTTTGAATCAGTGTTTTTGTGTCTTTTGGGTAGATACCTAGGAGTGGGATTGCTGGGTCATATGGAAGCTCCATGTTTAGCAGTTTGAGGAACCTCCAGTTTTCCATAGTGGTTGTACTAGTTTGCATTCCCACCAGCAGTGCAGGAAGAGTTCCTTTTTCTCTACATCCTTGCCAACATTTGTTGTTGCTAGTTGTTTTAAGATGTGTCATCTCACTGGGGTGGGGTGGTATCTCATTGTGGTTTTAATTTGGAGGGGGATGCATTTTCACTTGATACTATTTTATTTTTCTGGAGAAAATCTGCTTGGAAAGTAAACTCAACATAGATATGATGCTATTACAGAAGGAAAGAAAGTTTCTACAACCTTCTTCTCTACCTCTTTTGTTTTTCAGTGAAACAGTTACAATCCTAATGTGCTGTGCTTAACTCTGGGTTCCTGCTTGTCAGAAGTTATTTCTAAATGTAAGATACAAACAAACAAAAAATCACTTATAATGCCATGAACGAGAAGCAATATTATATAGATTAATTTTCTAAAAATTAAGTTTATTTTCATCAAACATTGTATAGTCACATTATAGAAAATTTGTGAAACAGGAAAAATAATGAAGGAAATCACCAATAACACTGTAATATATACTGGTAACTTGGTATATTTCTTTCTAGTTTTCTTTAAAGACTATTTTAAAAACATGGTTGTAATAATAATATATCTACATATTTGCATTCTATGTTTTTTTTTCTTAGCCATATTTCTAGGGTATTTCATGATACCCATAATTTCATGTAAATACCATTTTTAAGGCCACATAATAATTTTATCAGCTAGAAGTAGCACAATTTAATCAACAATTTTCCCTAAGTTTTGATATGTAAATGTTAAACATTTACTATTTAATCACTTCATCAGAAAATATTCTCCAGATGACCCTCCCAGTTTACTCACTTATGAAGCATTTTCAACATTCATTCATTCATTAACCATTACTTCTTGCTCTAGACTTTAAAATAGATACCTGAACAAAATAAGATCCCTGCCTTCCTGGAACTTACAGTCTAGCTGGAAGAGGGAGACATTAAATAGTCACATAGCAGGTTATGAAATGTTTGCACTATGGGAAAGAAAACAGAGCAGAGTCGAGAAGGTAGGGATTTCCTGTATTGGGCTTCATTGAGCAAATGCTTATTGGATGGGAGTTAGCTGTGAGGGTGAGGGTATTTGAGGGTGAGGGTATTTGAGGGTAGGGTATTTTAAGCAAATGGAGCAGCTGGTGGACCTTTGGTGGTGGGCCCAGTGTATTCAGGGAATAGCAAAGATTGCTCTGGGGCTGAATGCTCCTCACGATTATTATGCCTTGCTTATTCTTTGAGCTATAGCATTTATCACCATCTGACATAGTATATATTATATATTTGCTTATTTTGTGTTTTCGTTTGCTAGAATATAAACTAGGAAAATGATGACTTCATCTTGTTCTAGGCAGAGCATTACTTGCTACAGTGCCTGGCACACAGTATATGCTCACTATATATTTTGAGTGAATGAATGAGTGATTCATAAACCTGAATCAGTGGTACTATAAATTTATGATGAGATTTTTCTTTTAATTCTGCACATTACAATTAATGACTGGAAAGTCATTCTTAAGCATTATTGTTCTATTCTTAACCTGGTATAGTAGCTCTTGATATCACATAGTTTAAGTCCCCAATGAGGAGCTGAGGTTTGAAAAGAGTAAATCCCTGGACAAAATCAAAAAGCCAGTTATCAACAAGCCCAGTCTGGAACTTAAGTTGCTGAATTTCATGGTAACTGGCTGGAAGATGAAAGCCAAATATGTTCACTGAGCTTTTGACCATGACATGTATTTACTGCATTTGTAATTAATTTTCAGTACTCATAGTGGTTCAGTGCAATCAACTTCCAGATCTTCCAGCTGAAGTTTTACTCCAGGTATAACTTAGCTCACTGCTCTTGGATGTGAGATCTACCTATTAAACTGCTTAATGCCCACGGTTTCTCAGAATCTTTCTCATTTCCTTTTATGGAAACAGAAAGATAGTCAGACTCTCTTCAGAGTACAAAAGGGAATTAATGATAGTATCATTTTGTACTGATTTAATATCAATTGGGTAATATACGTAGAATAAAGCTGGCATATAAAACAGTCCTGGCAAATGCTAGTCAATTTATCAAGTATTGTCAATTTTGATCCTGTAAAAGTAATGCTACGTAATGTCTCCATTTTGAAGTAAAAGAAATTCTGTATGACTCAGGGTAGTGAAATGGCCTTCTTAATATTATTTAGAAGTACCTGGGCCTTGAATACTCTTTTGAACCTTACACTTGTTATCCTTTCATTTCAGCAGAAGTATAGAAGGCTATTGCACCAAATTCCTCTTTACTAACTTAGAGAAATATAACAACCCATATGTATACTGCTACTGGTATCAGACAGTGCTTTTATTTTTTTAACCACATGAAAGAAAAGCTTAAATTTAACCACTCTGTTAGTAACGCACCCAAAACTCTTATACTCTGAATTTCTAATGGTCATTTACCCTTAAAAGAAACCAGGATTTCTTAGGAAAATGTCTGTCTCTAAAATTTTATTACAATGTATGAGTCTGGTATATCATGTTTTATCATAAAGTAAGGATGCTGTCAAGGATCACTGGGATTTGATATCAAAAGAACTCATGAGTCAGTAGGAAGTCTTCCTTTGACAGAGATTGAGAATCATTAAATAACTGCAACAGACTGAAATGCTTCAACTATTTTAAAATCTATGAAGTCAAAATGATATTAAAGCAAAACGTTGTTGGCCACTCTTGAAGAATGTTAAGAAAACAACTCCTTACTTTGAAAACTAGTACATAAGAAGAAAGAATGAATCATTTACTGTATCGTTAGTAAATAAACTATACCTCAGGGTAACTAAATAGTAAAGGACTTTTTTTGGTCAAATTTATTATAAATTAATGGATTTATGAACCTCAGTGACTGCTAAAAATACAAGAAGAGATAAAATTAGACTACCTTTTGCTCAATTCAATTATACAAAATCCAATCAAGTCTAGTAATTCACAGTGTACAAAGGAAATACATAAGGTACAAAGGAAAGAGTGTAACGACATGCCAGGAAGGTAATAACCACAATTAAGAAAAGTCTACAAGACAAACAGGATGTTTTATCAACAAATAAATTAGAAAACCAAAAAAACCAGGAGAACCCCTATGTCTATCAATGTGGGTTCAGGCTAATGCTGCCCTCTGCAGGATTTATGTGAAGTTGCATACTCTCCTCGCTGGTCCCCTTTCTTCTCCTGTTTCTCTGTTAAAAGATTTTTCCAGGAAAAAAAAAATTCTTAATAAATCACTTGCACATGAAAATTCATCTCAGGGCCTGCTGTTGAAAAACTTGACCTAAGTCCTATTTATTCCTCTAAACAGAAGCAAGCATAAAACAGGAGTTTGACTTTTGTATGGAAGCAATGCTATGGAAAAGTCAAAACATAAATTGGAAAACACATTTGGAACATATGACCACTTAAGGAAACCAATTCAAAATGACCCAAGCATAACATGCAAAAAGGACATGCATGATGTAAATAAACAAATAAACAAAACAACCCACACGCGCACACACACAGCTTGACATTTTCAAAAGAAATGATTAAAATGACAATGAGAACTATTTTTATAACTAGTCAAAGAT